GGGTTGAAGGCTTCGGGTTCAGGGTGTGGCTTTCAACCTCTCTTCATGGAAGCGATAAGAGCAATACATGCCAACATAAAAAACGACAACAACACGCGCAAGCACCGCAGCAACAATGTGAAGCAACATAACTATAACAACAAGCATGCATGACAGCCAAAAATAGGCTGGCCAACCTATTTCAAGAACAACAGCCACATATGGGAGAAAGAACCACTGAATGCCTAGATCCGCCATCGAGCGAGGGGGGCAGCGGGGCGGGCACCGGTATGATGGGGTTGCTCCACCCCAAGGCAAGAATCGGCAACAGCTAGCTTCATGGTACACAATGAGCCGCAAAGCAGATGCAAGCATAGAATCACCCGCACGACGTTAGCAAACGTAAAAGCAAGCACGTTGCCGTATCGAAACCACTTGGCTTCCAGCAGTCAGCATGTCTGCTCACAAGCTCAAGACATGCTGTGGGGGGCTTAAAGGCTTAGCATTAAGCATTCCGAATCTAGTAGTATAAATCCTTGCAACTTGTGGAGGGGACAGATCTCAAAGGAAGAGGTCCAGCAGAAATCCGCAGCCGCGTAGTATAGGGGCCTTAATGGTTAGAATAAGGTTTGGGAGTATGTGATGAGCACCCCCAAAATAGTGTTGGTACTTATTTACCCCCTTTATGACATCGACTGCTGAGCTCGCAAAATCAGACCTTATTCTGCCCTAAACGGCCCTAAACGCTGTCTTGGATCCTGACAGTCTCTGTGCGAGAGTAGATACCACAAGGTAAACCCCAAACCACCAAGAGTCGTAAACCCTGTAAATGCCCCAAAGCAGGGAAAACATGAAGCTAAAGTGAAATCCTTCAAATGATCTAAGGTTGATGAAGAGGAGTTGGGCTACCCAAACTGAGAAAAGATAAAGCCTTATGTAATACAGGGTATACTCCAGTATAATTACATAAGGACTACAAGGGAATCCTAAAATTGATTATACCGAGCCCTTATGCAATAGATAGTATAAGGTATCTTTATAGTAAACTAAACATACATGAGGACTGTACACATGGGAGCTCAAATCCCTAAGTTCTAAACCCCTCAACCCTAAACCCCTCAGCCTTTAACTTTAAGCTACCACCCTCAACCCTGAACCCTGAGCCCTAAACCCCTAAACCCTAAACCGATCGAGGTAAACTTTGGCCTTCTGCAATGTCATTTCTCGGAGCTGCAAGAATCGACTCCTGCACGGGCGACAGGGATCCCTTAAAAGGGGCTTAGGGCTCAGGGTTAGGGTTTAGGGTTTTGGATTTGGGGTTTAGGGTCTCGTTTGCACTGGAAGAAGGCCCTTATATGAACCCGAATGATTCATGTATGATGAGAGGGTATCTTCCTTGGAGGTTCTATTGGATTCTCTCCGGGGCCTGGGGATATCTGGTTGGACTACGCGGTCGGCATAGGAATGATGGTTAGGGCGTAACCCCGAAACCATGTCTGAGACTCGGACTGTTCCCACAGCATGCCAGAAGTGCTACTTCGATTCGAAGCCCATGGCGGCAAAAGCCAGCCAGTAAGACTGATAGAAAATCCCAAAAAGTGCAGACAAAATCCATGCATAGGTGGAACACTTCCGTGCACAACGGCATGGCAATTGCTACGCCGCGGGAGCGCGGCGCATTTCCCAACACTACCCCAAAACATCCCAAAGCCTACACTGAACGCAACTCCTGGAAAAATTAAACCCGTGCGAATCGCCTCACTATATGGACCCCTAAAGCCCAAAACCCCCTGAATAATCCGCTAGTCCTTCGTAAGCCCCTGAAAAGACTTAAAAAGACCGTAAACTCCCACAACTCCCAAACCCTGATAACCCAATAACCCATAAAAACTCATAAACCCTCAAAAGCCCTCAAAACGCAAACACACTAAGCCTCTGACGCTCTTCAGCGTACCTATAGAACTCCTGAAAACGGTCGTCCGACCCCAAACTGAGCAATGGGGAACCCCCAAAAATCCCTCAAACCCTAAAAACCCCAAACCCTAAACCCTAAACCAAAAATCCCTCAAACCCTAAAACCCCCTTCCGAAACATCAGCCGATGCGTTTGTTTGGTGGACCCCACCTCTGGTTCCAGACTGAAATCTCGCACTGGAGGTACCGAACGATTTGCAAGACCAGAGTCCCCTTCAGGGCTTTCTGTCCAGCTTCAGGGGTTTAGGGTGTAAGGTGTGCAGATTCAGGCAGTTTTTTCGGATGCGAAGGGGGGTTTCCTGGCCATTATCGTCACATGCCTCATGGTGTTTGAAGGGTTTCCGGGTTTCTGGCAGTTTAGGGTTTGGGCCTTCTTGCGGTGTTCAGGCATGAAGGCTTGCAGGGCTTCGGGGCCTAGGGTTTAGGGTTTAGGGTGTCTGGGGATTTCCGGTTTATTTGGGATAACGGTCTAGGTCTTGGCTTCCCCATCATCGAACCCATAGTGCTGGTACTGGCAGTATATGCACAGAGAAGACGTCATAATCATCGCACTTATGATGCTGATGATGCCACTGGTATGAATATCAGGATAAGTATATGTATCTGTGTGTGTATATACTTTTAGATACAATATCCGTCTGATGTAGCTGCATGTACCTGCTTTCATTACACCAAATTCTAGCATGTGTAAATGCTATCACCAACCCCATGCCCTGCGAAAATAGGAATACCCCAAAGAAACGGCGCATCCTTATCATGCGAACCACTGCAAACCTGAAGGAGAAGTTCCCCAACCACCAAGATAAGGCTCCCCCGACATAATAGCATGTCTAGCACAGCGTATATACTATTCATATATATATATATGTGTATATATATATACACATACACATACACATGTGTGTATACAGATGTCTGTCTGTCTGTCTGTCTGTCTGTCTGTCTGTCTGTATGTATGTATGCATATAGATATGTGTAAAAATACCCCGAATTTTGAAAACTTTGGCACCTGGGCCTGGCATGGGCAGCAGGAGCTGGGGATGGCGCAGAGCGACTCCAAACCGAAAGCCAGGATGGGGCGAGATTTGCCGGTCGAAGTCGTCGTCCGCCACCGACTCCGGTAGGACTGAGGCTAAGGATTCCAGGGTGTTCGATGGTTCGAAGGAGTGCCATTGGGCAAGAGACCGAGGCTTTGGCTGCGGACTTCGGCAGGGGCCCGGCATGGCTGTAACAAGAATGGGGCATTCCACAAGTCTCGCAGAAGCCCGGTCCGGTGTGGAAGACCTTCGCTCTGCCGAAGCTGGCCTTGGCGAGATCACCAGCTCGCCATGGACTTTGGAATCCCCGGCGACCACCTCCAATCCCTGCACCTCTAGCCCCGGCAATGTGCTCGTAGTCTGGGGTCGGGAATTTGGTAAGGGGAAGGTTGGGGACTCCAGGAGAGTTCGTTCGGTCTGCTTCCGGCCTGTGCGGCGTCGTGGGCCCCGCCGCGGGCCTCGGGGGGTGGGTACCGTGGAAGGCCTTGGAAGGGTTCCGCTTTCCTGGTAGGTCAAGGCAGCTCTTAGATCTTCACGCTTCGGCACTGGCCTTCCACCATTTGCATCTGGCTTCCATAAGATCTGAGGCTCGAAGACGGGCCCTGTTGGGAACCTGGCCTTCCGGTGTTGCTGCTTCTTCCGCTTCCCCAAGACGGTTTTGTCGGCAAACTCGGCCAACTTTGCAGCTCGAACCGCAGCGGCAGCTGCAACTGCTGCCACGGCCTCGGTGTCATCCTGCTCCTTGGTCTCTTTCGCATCAGCATCTGCCGGGCTCTCCTGAAAATGGGGGCATGTGAGAGGTTCTCCAGATTGGGGTTGTTGTAGTGGCGACATATTTTGGGGGCCCACCAAGAACTCAAACTTAGAGAAAACCCACACATCTTCATTTGCTAGATAGTTGTTGGCAGTGGCGGGAAGAAGGCATGGAAGGCAACACGCATAGAGTGTCTGGCAGACTGTCTGGCATCAGATGCTTTGGTGACTTTTTGTTCAGAGATTGGTGCTCCATGCATAGTTCACATCAGGACAGCCTGAATTTTCCGGAACAAGCCCTCCTCTCGAATCGCAATCACAAGCCTCCGAGCTCAGCCTTCGCAAACCTACAGTTAAGCCATTAAAGGTCAGTGCCTCGACAGCCTGTAGGGTTCGCCCCCACCCCTCGAACCTCAACCCAACGACCCCTAAGCTACACCCGACAAAAAAAGACACACACACACACACAGAGACACAAAAACCGACGCACATACACACAAACACACAAAAAACAACAAACAAACAGACAGACAGACATACTGCAGACAAACAAAAAACAAACAATGCCAACTTCAGCTCAGATACCTGATGAAATTCTGCCTCGCCATCTTCCAAAGTTTCCACCTGTCGGATCCGATCTGTCTCTTGGCTTGGAGCCCCGTGCGAGTTCCCATTTGGTGCTCGTGATGTATATATAGGCCTGAAGACTAAGCGCCAGATTGTGGCTTGGCTATGGTGTCTGAAGCGCATTTCTGCTATCCACTTCGATCATCATAGTGCACTGGTGGCGTTGTTCATGCTTCCGGTCCAACCCCGCGCACGAATTAAATCCTTCTCATCGACTCCCACAGCTGCTTGAGATGGTGAGCTGCAAGCTAGAACATGCGCAAGTAAGACACATGGAGCATGCGAGTGGAACTCGCAGCATCAGCTACGCTGGTGTGCAGTCTAGCTGGAAGATGTCAAATCGACCCAGGATAACGCCTGAAATCCCAAGCCGCGCACACTCATCGACCGAGCAGTGCAAAGAAGCGTTTCGCGAAGCGAAGTGGTCCGGATCGCCTTGAAGGACAAAGGCTCCGCTCGGAGAAGCGGTTGTGAGACATCCAGCTCATGCAGCAGCTCCTGGTCAAAAAAAAGCTCTGCTAAACGTAAATCAATGATGAACTGAGGCTGTGATAGCTTCAGTAAGTCAGAGCCGGCCGAGAACTAGCCCAGTCGTAAATGCAGTAGCGTCGACATATAATCTAAGTGGTGGCAGCATGCCACGGGTAGGCACGGGAGTAGAAGTAGTGGCGGAGGTACCAGCAGCTACTGCAGTGGTCAGCCAGAGTAGTAGTCGTCGTCGGTCTAGTAATAGTAGCAGTAGCAGTAGCAGTAGCAGTAGCAGTAGCAGTAGCAGTAGCAGTAGCAGTAGTAGTAGTAGTCGTAGTGGTAGTGGTAGTGGTAGTGGT